TTACCTCCCACGGTGGTTGCCCTATTTCAGGGGGATCCCTCAAAATTTTGGGGGTCCTAAGAGTTGTTGCCTTTGACCTAGGAGCACTCAAAAAATTTTCAGTCTATATCTTAAATCTAAAGTTTATCTAAAATCTAGTCTAAAGTTACAAGGGTGATGCCAGGATGCCAGGTGCTCATAGTGCGGGACTTATCGACTACCCTACGTAGAAGGAAATTAAATTTGCCATCAATAACAAAGGTACATTAATTCTTTGAATTGAAAAAGAAAACTATTGGGGTTAAAAAAATTCTCGCCCGTCAAAAAAAAAAATTCTTCGATTTAAAAAAAATTAAAAGGGAGAGAAGAAAAGGGTGAACCAAAATGTTTTCCTTCAAATTTTTAAGAAGAAATTGGCGAATTCCTGAAATTTTTGAAAATCCCTCGATGAAAAATTTTCCTTCAAATAGCATGATTTTTCTGATTAAACCATTTTAACAATTTTTTTTTTTTTTTAATCAGTGAATCTTCCACGGTGATGGTGTACGACCCAGGCGTAGGCGTCTTATGCCACACCCACGAGAGCACCTTTAATTTGATTTTAACCGCCTATCGAATCCTCATCAAGGGACGCCGACGAAGTCCAGCCCCCTCCCCGCTTAAGGTGGTTTTTAACCCTCGTCGAGTGATCGATAATGGCCAATATCCGCTCGGCTAACTGCCGCCCGTCGGCTTCACTCCCAAGCTAAGGAAAAACACCATACAAACATTCGAATGTTGCCAAATTCTCGCGAGAAAACGTAATGTTATTGGGGGAAATTATCAATATTCTTCTTCAGAACCTTCAAATAATTCAGATTAGTAGTAACAATTGTTGACTTTTTTTTTTGAAAAATTCGTACATTTTACAAATACGACACTGCAAAAAACTGTTAAAAAATTCGTTTTTAAGGAAACCCTTTTTGGGTGTTTTTCAGTGGAAATTTGTGAAAAAATAAAAAAAAATCGTGCAAACGCTATGAATTTATTTGCTATTTTAAAGACTTTCTCCTTCATTTCCTGAAAAAATTAGGGGGGGGGGGAGGTCCGAAGTTCAGGAAATTATGAATATTTTTCCTTGAAATTTTCAGAACATTTAAATTAGAAATGAAGACTGTTGACATTTTTTTAAAAAAAAATTCGTGAATTTTATAAATAATCTCTTAAAAAAACCGGTGACATTTTCGTATTAGGAAACCCTTTTAGGGTATTTCTAAACTTAGGAAAAATGATTAAAAAACTGAGAATTCAGTGAGCTTTTTTCAGTTATTGTACTGGCTCTCTACTTTAATTCCTGGAAAATTGGAGGAGGGGATCAATTTTACGTAATTCAAAAGGCGGAGACTAATTGGTGTTTAACAAAGAGGAGTAGGAGAGTTTAATAGATGGCCAAAATCCCTAACGCAATATTTGAGGGGCTTGGAGGACAAGGCGCATAAGTGCAGTTTTCGCTGTACTTCAAAATATAAACGTGTTTGAAGTTTCGAAATTACAAGGATCCTTATGGCGGGAAGAAAGTTCAAACTGACTTTTTGATGCTTAAAAATTGGAATTTGGGAGTGAATATTTCACAATAAATGCATCAAGACTAGTTTGACTTGAAATTATGAATATTTCAATTTTTTTCAAAAACTGTTCTTATGTGCCTTGTCCTCCAAGCCCATAATTTGAACAGCCACACTGAAAAAAACTTCTCGGCGTTTTTACCACGGTCCGTTGGTACCTTTACCATCTCACTTTTTTACCAATTATTGGTAATTTTACCAAGACAGACTGGTAAGCTTACCTAAAAATCGGTATTTTTACTATTTTTTTCAGGTAAGAATACCACTTTTATTGGTAATCAATTCTCGGTAACTTTGCCATTTTATCTCGGTAATTCTACCACAGTCGATAAAAAATATTGGCGTTTTTACCAAGGTCCAGTAAAATTACAGAGAAAGTTTAATAATTTTACCGAGATTTCTCGGTAAAATTACCAATTCCATAAATGGTAATTTTACCAAGAAAAAACTGGGATCAAATAGAACCCTGAATTCTTGGCAATTTCATCCTTTTCTTAGTAAATACACCGATATTTTTTTTTCAGTGATTAGAACAGCCGATATTCGAGAAAATCCATTTTATTCGAGGAGATCTGGCAGCGTTTGAAGACTCATAAGGCGTTTCTCCTGAGCGGGAGGGATGGCGCCCCGAGTGCGTTTCACGGAGCGTGGAGCTATTCTCATTGAGACGAAATTTCCGCGCCCTCTCCTGTCCTTCCTCCCCGAAGCCGACGGCCCTCCGTGGAATTCCTCTCGTGTCGCGAACTTTATACCGCCGGACTCGAGGCTTCCTCGCTCTAATTAAATGTCCTCCGCCTGCGTCTTTGTCGCAGTCGTGAAAAATTAAACGGGCTCCCCGCACGAGGACCATCGAGCCTTCGCCTCTGAGGAGCTTTCGCATCACGGAAAAACAACTTTCGTTTACACTGCCGTGTTGAGTGGCCGTCCATCAATGAAACTCTAGCATGCCTGAAGGATTTGCAATTTAAGTATTTTTAAAAACGTAAACTTTCGAAGAAACACAATGGTGCCACTTGTGCTCTCTGAAGTCAACTTCAAAGCTCAGAAAAAGCTCTCAAAGTTGAGGGTGTAATGGAGGGGATATCCCATACCTATATATATGCAATACCTCTGGTGTGAAATAGTTGCTTCAGACGCCGTGGCACGCTGGAACCCGGAGGGCGGGCAGAGAGCACGAAACGCGCATTGGCGCCTACAAACCTAACAGGGATACTTCACGCATTGCGCAATGCGTGAAGTATCCCTGATAGGTTTGTAGGCGCCAGTGCGTCGCCGCTCCGCTTTGTGTTAGGCTCTAATATTTAATCTCGCGGAGTCAGCGTTTTTCAACTCATGATTTTGAAATGTTTGCACACTCTGTATGGACTATTCTCATTTTAATTGATGGAAAAAAAAGTGTTTTAAAATAAAATATAATGTATGTTTTGTAAATATTGAGGTAGTTCCGTATCAAACTTAATGATTTCCAAAGCACACGAATTTCTACACAATTTCTCATAGCCTTTTAAAGCCAATGGCGATAAAGTGTAAAGCCCGGCGATAGGAACTATAGCCCGACTGTATACTTCGTCGCCCCCACGACGAAGAGGCGTATCAAGATTTTGACTACTTTTCAGGAGAGCAAAAGTAAGATTTAGAAGAACGTAATTCCTTCGCCGCTAGGTCCCTAATTAACGTATCTGACTTTTTTTTTCGCAATCAGCACCGGAAAAAGATCAGGATTTTAAATATCATATTGAATTCGTGAAATTATATCTAGCAGCCCTGATATCATTGAAATATTAGAAAAGGGTCCTGATATGCCCGTTGGCGGAACACTGAATTCGGCACCTCCGCTGCTCCGCTGCGTCCTCTCGGCGGGCGTATCACCTTGTTGCGCTATGTCTTCCCCCATTTCATTCCTTTCTTGTTAGTTCTTTCACTTAATTTATTTTCTTGGAGTTTTATTTTTCTTCCGAATTTTTTCTAGGTGGACAGTTTTGTATATAAGCACTCCTATGGTATTTTAGAACGCAGCTCCTATCGCCAATTTTTACCAGGGCCAACCAGTGGCATGGCGTGCTTTGCGATACATCGATTGATCTGCCGTGTAACCTAAGGGAAAGGATCGATAAAGAGAGTGTTCGCAACGAACACATCAAACATCGATTCTTTACCATAGATTCTAATGGGGGTTAATTCGATAATCGATCATTCACGCGTCACCGCTGGATCCAAGTTTCCAACACCGCTACGATTATTTCGCCCCTCCCCACCCTTCGAATTAGAATTCGACGAGGGATTTATTTCCAGGTTCGATCGCGAGCACAAGGTACACAGCCACACACCGGTGCCGGGGGTATAATGTTTTATCTGCCCTCCGCTCTCGTTAAATTTAATGATGTTGGTTTTGCCGCTTTTATCACACTTGTCACCCGCAAAATTCCTCAATGGAAACTGGAAAGGGACGTGGGTTTCCGCGCTCGCGGTTGTCAAACCGCGAACGTGAAAAGTTATTTCTCCTCTCGCGCTTGAAAGCGTCGTTCCACAGATGAAAAATAAACGATACTACATTTCGATGTTGCCAAATTTCCGCTCACAAATTGGGCTTTACTGCCGTGCAATGCAAAAACGCCGTAAACGACATTTTAATTTTGTTGGAAACAACGTACCATAGCAAAAAAACTAGTGAACCTTGAGACAATGTTTTTACAGAATTCTTTTGCAAATGCTATCAAGGACTTAACCTGAAAATTTGAGGTGGATGGGTAAAACAACTTTTATTTTATAAAGTGTTAAGTTTCAAAAAACGCGGGAAAATCTTGAAGGATTTACGGCGTTCTTGCTTAGCATGGCAGTTTACTAGAAACCTGTTCTGCCGTGCTAAGGAAGAACGCCGAATGAACATTCGAGAGTTGCCAAATTGCCTCCGATATTTGTCTTTAGAAGGAAGTTATGCATATTTTTCCTAGAAACTTTCAGATATTTACGATTAATCTGCGAACAATGTTGCCTGAAAAATTGGGAAAAAATATTCATAACTTTCCCGGTAAATTGGCATTGTATCAAAGGCAACCTGACAACGCCTAAAGGCTCATACGCATTCATCCTTAGCACGGCAGTGTTCTACCGGAGAATTTCTCCTCTGATTGAACGCAAAAACAGTGAAACTGCAAGTGGCAAAGAAATCGAAGAGTCATAATTCACCGTGGAAAAAAAAATTGGATGTTGACTTCCACATTCAGCTGCTAAATTCAGCGTGTGATTGCGGCATAATACAATGAAGATGAATTTTGCTATTTTCGCTATTTCAGTGATTTCATCTGAAAGAGATGAGACGAATTTTGAGGGAGACTCGATTTCGAAAATTTGACACTTACTGCTCTCTTCGCTTTCACGGGAGAAAGTTAGGGAAAGTGGAGAGAGGACAGGGCTTACCTTGCCGCTGAATGGTGCGGAGTTGTTGCTAATGAGGGCCTCCGGGGCGGTGAAGGCGGGGGTGCCCGCGGTGGAGTTAAGGCAGGCGTCGGGCCCGTCGAATTCGTTACAGACGCCCAGGTCGGCGATTTGCACCCGCCCATCCTCGCCCAACAGCAAGTTGGACGGCTTGATGTCGCGGTGGATGATCCGCTGGAAGTGCACTGTAATCACAAAACCACCCAATTTCAATTCATCTTTCTCTAAAAGGCTTCAAAAGGCATTGATAGACAGTGCACTGAAATCACAAAACCACCCAATTTCAATTCATCTTTCTCTAAAAGGCTTCAAAAGGCATTGATAGACAGTGCACTGAAATCACAAAACCACCCAATTTCAATTCATCTTTCTCTAAAAGGCTTCAAAAGGCATTGATAGACATGTCGCAGGCAAATAGTAAAATCGGGCATTTTGTCAAAATGCCTAGGCAAATAGTCAAGTATTCTAGCTTAGAATAAAGAAGGAGAGAATTAAAACATGGGTAAACAAGGCTAAAACATTTTTTACTTGTTTTTTGTGTTTTTTTGCAGCTGAAAATGAGCTGGTAACAGCTCGAAACGTCCTGCCTTTTAGTGTTTTTAATGTTTTAGCCTTGTTTACCCCTGTTTTAAATCTGTCCTTCTTTATTCGTATATTTGGGCTATGTTTTTGTGCTTTATCGTTCACTGGCGTGGCATGCTTTGCGATATATCGATTGTTATGCCATTTAAACCTATGGAAAAGGATCGATAAACAGGGTGTTCGCAGCGAACACCTTAGTAATCGATTCTTTACCATAGGTTTAAATGGCATAACAATCGATACATCGCAATTCACGCCACGCCACTGTTATCGTTCTAGCTTAGATTGAAATTGTGATTATTATCCTAATTTTAGACAAAATAGTTAATTGCTCCTGTAAGAAAAATTCTCAGTAAAAAGCACCACACAATAGTATTTTAAACGATTTTTAGCCCCTGAACAGACACTTATCTTAAACTTTTCAGCGCGTCGCAAAATACAGATTTTTTTAGATTTTCAACATTTAAAAATATGATAGGCAATTCAAGAGGAGGAGACAAAAAGAGTTCGTAGGTTTGATGAGCTATTTTTCCAAAAATATTGATAACTCGTGTGCTGTTCGCCATAAATTCACAAAATTTTGCGGACCGTCAACCCCCCCCCCCTCCCAATATCCTTTTTTAACTCTTCATCGATCGCTTTATCTAACGCTTTGTCTATCTATTTCAACAATCAGCCCGCTGTATTGGCGAAAGAGAGAGCACAAGAGCCGTAATTTCAATTTCAAGCTGCCTGGTACTCCAAGTAGCATTATTCACCGGAAAAATCGCGATATTTGGAAATTGAACTGTGCTTTTTTACGAATTTTTGGCGATAAAGGCGCTGGGATCATCAACATCTGAGCAAGTATCCTCGATCTTGATATAATTTTATCTCAATTGAACTGCATTTTGCAATTTAGACCTATAAATTCTGGCTCATCTGAAAAAAAAACTAATGTGCATAGGGAAACTAATGGCACGTACGCTGTTTTTAAACCGGGCCGGAATTTATAGGCCAAATTGCAAAATGCAGTCCAATTAATCATGGTTTTTTTGCTCATTAATTTAATACGGGTAACTGAGCCCCCACTTTTCCAGGAAACGTTTAGGAATTTCCAGCAAGGGGGTTCAGGGGGTCTTTCCAGGAAAATATTCAAAAATGTATCTTCCTTAGATGCATTTGGAGGCTTTGAATTCTTGCACAAAATTAGGCTGTGTGCAAATTTAAGGTTCGACTCTACTAAGAAAAATCCTCGAGGAGTTCTCATACTTTTCCCTTTTTCCTGTCGCATTATCAAATGAAACGAGGAAATATCCCGGTTCTAGTGCTATTTTTTATGGGAGAGAGGAAGGGGGAGAGGGAGGCGGAAAGAAAGTGGGAGAGGGAAAGGGAGGAGGAGAGGGAGGGGAAAGGGAGGGGGAAAGGAGGGGAGGATGGAGGGGGAAGAGGGAAGAGGGAGGNGGGGATAGATAATACAATTTCAAATTCTAGGGAGAGAGCATGCAACTTCCAGCCATTTCCAAGAGCTACATCTATGGAAGGAATGCGGGTGAACTATTCACTGATTTGAAGGCTCGAGCGAATGAACGTATCGTACTTACAGTATTCCAAGCCGAGGATGACATCTCTAAAATAATTTCGAGCTTGAGCCTCGGAGAGAGGCTCATCTGTCGGGAGGCGCATGACTTCTCCTCTTTCCAGAAGTTCAAAAACTGGAAAAAAAAAAAGGTTTTAAATTTATTATTCTGATAGGAGCCAACGGAAGTATTTTCACCGTCGGAATCAAGCAAGAAGAAACGGAGTTACATGAGGCGCAATACAGCATAACACTTGCGCACTGCACGTCACAACAGTGGATGTCGGTAAAATTCGTGGTAAAAAAAAAACTGTGTTTTTCGGTTAAATTCGCCAGGCCGACGGTTATAGGACATCTTGTCAACCATTTTTTGTCCATGCATACCTGTTTTTTCTAGTAGTTTACGACCAAGCGTTTTTTTCGACAGGAAAGTTTTGTCGATTTACCAATTGAGACCCAATACAAGCGACACTTTCTCACGACGTTTTTGGATGAAAACGTATAATGTCTTGGAAGAATGAGGGTCCGCTTTTTTTTTATTTTTTTTTTTTGTTTGATCAAACGGAGAAAAATATATAGCTGTAATTTTTGGTAAAAATGAGGGAGCGTCAATTCCATGAGGGAAAATTCACTGAAACTCTTTACACCTCTTTGGTGCAACAGAAATTAATTCTCTTTCAAGGAAATCTCATCTTGTTACACCTGATCCGGATGAATCTTTTGATTTGCCTAAGCTAAAGGTTCTTAGAATTTTCCTGTGTACTATATACCTACTTCGCTACGGCACCATGAGCTACTTTTTCGCAACGGAGGTGTTGTACAGTATCATACGAGATTGAAGACACCCCAACGTATCATGATTGATGGCATCCTTCAAAAGCACGAAGTTCACTCACAAATTAAAACGAGTGACGACGACAAAAAAAGAGCGATAGTCGAAAAACTTGCTAAGTCTTAGTATCTGTATTCAATAACGTTTAGCATGATTTTTGAACTTCATTAGAGGAAAAAGTAGATATGCTTCAAAGATATGCTCAAATTTACCACCGAGGTTTCCTTACGAATCAATAAAGATAATAATGCTTGTGCAAAGAAGAAGAAATGCTTTTATAAAAATAAAGGCAGCTTACGTCAAGCAGAAACCCGCTTCCATTCAGCTATTTTATTGCATCTAAAATCTTCTTGACGGTATACTTAAACATGTTTCTGCATAAATCCAGTCACATTCTTTCTAATAATGAAAATCAAAAATTATGCTAAACGTTATTAAATACAAACGTTAGGACTTGGTGAATTTTTGGACTACCGCTCTCTATTTGTGCTGTAGTATCTTGATTTATTTTGCGAGGAAAAGCTCCGTACTCTTAAAGGACGCCTGTTATTCTTAAAACGTTGGAGCGCCTTCAATTTCGTATGTTAATGTGTGACACTTCCGTTGCGAAATAGTTGCTTGAAGCGCCGTGGCGCACGCGGCGCGGCGGGCGAGGGCGCCTACAAACCTAACAGGATACTTCACGCATTGCGCAATGCGTGAAGTATCCTTGTTAGGTTTGCAGGCGCCAGTGCGTTTGTCGCGCTGACAGCGCGCAGCTCATCTGTGTTTGGCTGTAATATTTAAACTCGCGGAGTCAGCATTTTTCAACTCATGATTTTGAAATGTTTGCACACTCTGCATGAATTATTTTCTTTTAAATTGATGCAAAAAAATGTATTAAAGGATAAACTATGTTTTGTAAATATTAAGATGGTTCCGTGTCTTCAATGATTTCCAGCACTTAAATTTTTTTTATATATATATTGTGCTTTTACTGTGCTGCAGCGTGGTGTACGCGCAATCAAACGCTCCAAATTGGACGTATTTGACTCTAAAAAATCGATGTACAACTGGGTCAAAACTATAAAGATTGCGTACTCCCTGGTTTTCCCCCTCTTTTATTCATTTTTGTATAGGTTCTTTCACCACAACTATGGCTCATCGAGATTATTCGATGACATCGCTTGGGAAAGGCTTTACAAATGTTTGCCATTCGTTTTAAAAAAGTAAATCTTTTTAAAATGAAGTAATATTTTCATTTAAAAATAAAATAAAATATATTTACGAGGTGTTTTTTACATCAGGAATTTTAAGGATAGAAATAAAACCAAACATTCACCAATGACAATTTGAAAAGATGAATCAAGGGAAGAAAGTAAAATTTTATTTAAAAAATGAGGTAAAATGAAAACACCTTCTCTCTCAATTTTCTCATTTCGATATTGTCAATAAAATTTTACATACAGACTAAAATATGACGCTTGGACCAAGTCACTGTTGCCTATTGTACGCGTGGACGTAAACTACTGGACAAAAAATTGTTGACGGAATGTCCTGAGGCCAGGCCGACGGTAAAATTTTCAAATTGAAATTAGTTAGAGAAAGATAATTCGCTAATTTCAGAGAAACATCATTGATGTTTCCGACAGTGTTGCGAGATTTAATAATCATTCGTTTGAACCAGGATTGCATGAGCTGATCGCCGAGAGAAAATCTACGTTGTGCGGTTTTCTTTCGATTATGGAGCAACTGGGGTAGAAATGTTTTAAAAGGTTGGAGATTAGAATTCTAACGTCCCTCCCCCACCCGCCCCCCAAAAAGATGTTGTTTAGGTGCGATTTAATACTTCAGAGGACTGAAGCCAAAAAGAAAAAAACATGCCAAAAAACATGTTTTCACGCAACGGTTCGCAATAAAGGGTTAACGAATACAGAATAAATTGAAATCTTAACTCAATGACCTTGCAAAAAATGCAGATCTTTAGGATCGCCACCTGGAAATCGATCTTTCCTTACCCAAATCGGGTTGTTTCACCATCTTCAAAAATTTCAGCTTCCATCCCAGATCTCATTCGGCCTAACTCAATCGCATTTAATAGAAGCAGCTTCTAGAAAGTGATCGGTGATTCCCAACATATTATCTGGAGGGCTCGCAAGAATACAGATTCTCTAATTCCATGCTCATTTATTGCCACCTGGCAAGCCAGGAATCCTTTCCCCCATACTTGCGATCGTACACCCTACAGCCCAGAAAAGTCGCACGAAGTGGGTTCATTTGAGGAGTTCTCTCATTTTCTTTGAGGTTAGTTTTCATTAAGAATCAGGACCTATTGACTTTCAGAATCGAACTCCGTAACGCATGAAGAGAATTTAAGATTGCTTGGTTCCGTAAAGAGACAAAGGCGGAGGAAACTAAGGAAGGCGAAGTTGAAGTTGAAGTCGAGAGAGAAAATGCAACAGAAAGACAGCTTTCGAGCCAGTGCACAACTGCGGGAGGCAGTGGCGTTGCGTGCTTTTTGATATATCGATTGATCGGTCATTTAAACCTATTAAAATGGATCGATAAACAGGGTGTTCGCACCGAACACCTTAATAATCGATCTTTTACCATGGGTTTAAATGGCAGAACAATCGATACATCGCAATTCACGCCACGCCACTGGCGGGAGGTGGTTTCATTCATGAGCTACTGGCTAAATGTCAAATGAGTCTGTTGCACACTTTTGCTGGAGCAAAAAGAAAAACTGCTACTTGTAAAAAAGGGCTCTTTTGAGGGGACTCACGTATTAAGTACCGCAATAGGGGGGGGAGGGTCAGGCCAGCGTTACGTAATTCAAAAGGGGGGCGTAAGGCTGCGTTACGGGTGCGATAGGAGGGGGGCCAAGAAATCGGAAAACAGTGCGTTACGTAACACTGCCGTGCTAAGGAAGAACGCCGTATGACCCTTCAGACGTTGCTAAGTTTCCTTCCAAGAATGCCGTCAAAAATACATGCTTTATGAAGGGAAATTTGGCAACTCTCGAATTTTCATACGGCGTTTTTCCTTAGCACGACAGAGTACTTGAACGGCCCTAAAGGAAATTGACCTTTGTGATGCGAGCCTCTCGTGCGCTTACATTGTAGTACATCCGACCCTGTTACAGAATGAAATTTAGGTTTTTCCAAATGAGCACGCACGAGGACTAAAATCTAAAATATATCCTGCCGTGCTGAGGAAGAACGCCGTATAAACATTTGAGAGTTGCCAAATTTCCCTTAGTAAAATGTTTATTTCTGAAGAAATTTACCAAAATTTTTCCTTGAAATTTTCAGACTTTTTAGATCAGATTACGACACTAAAAAAAAAAACTGCGGCCGTGGGAGCCGCAATTACGGGCTATATAGACATACCGTCCGTTCCGGGCTCGAAGGCCGAAAATTCCGGCTGCTGGAGCCGTAGCTTCGGCCTCTGAACCCGGAGCAATCGAAGCTATGCCTCCAGCAGCCGGAGTTGCGGCCTTTGAGCCCGGAACGGACGGTATGTCTACACAGCCCGTAATTGCGGCTCCCACGGCCGCAGTTTTTTTCCAGTGGAACAATGTTATCCGAGAAATTGGAAGAAAAATACGCACAAATTTTCATGAAAATCAGTGATTTGTCAAAGGAAATTTGGCAACGTCTGGAGGCTTATACGGTGTTTTTCCTTGACCAAAATCCTGATGGGATCCACCTTAAATGCACGCGAAATGGGATTCACTACGGGTTATTTGCATTTGATTAATGTCAAGGCCCGTTCACGGATCGTTAGGCCCGAAACGAGCCAGATCGATGGAAAAAAGAAAACTCACCGAAAACGCGACGAACGCAGCGGAATTCCGAAACGCGTTGACAACGCAGTCACCTCGGAGCCGTTGCACTCTGATTGGCTCATTTTACGGATGGGAGCTCATCAAAAGAGTTGACGTCTAAGTTTAGGCCTTCGAGACCGTTGCGTGACAGTGTCTCACTCCCACCCTACCTCCCTCCTCCCCCGATTTTATGGGCCCGAGCGCAAAGTTCCGTTTTTACTGGCTCTCAACAGGAGTTTCAAAGTAACTGGTCTTCCGCTGAAAATTAGATTATCTCTTCATTAAACTTTTCCCTAGGCATGCCAGCGTTTAGGGGATGGGCGTGCGTCGTGGAATTTTTAGCCACATGTTGCTCTATTAAAGTAGGGTACATCCGTGCGTGCACAAATAAATGGCTTTTACGAAAATACTAAGCGCACGATGGGCCTGGTCAATAGCAGAGGTCGGACAAAATTTGGAAACTTCAAAAGCTCACTAGAAAGAAAACACACATTGGATCTGGAGTCCAGACTCTTAAAAACATCGACAAGAAAAAATACTTTTGATTCAATCAGATTTAAGCTTAAATCAAGAACCCAGCCTCTTAATTTGAGCGGATTTCCTTTTGATTTAAGCTTAAATCTGATTGAAAAAGGAAATCCGCTCAAATTAAGAGGCTGGGTTCTTGATTTAAGCTTAAATCTGATTGAATCAAGAGTATGTTTTCTTGTCAATGTTTTGAAGAGTCTGGACTCCAGATCCAATGTGTTTTTTTTCCAGTATGCTTATAACTCCGTTTATGCAAAACTTTGAGATTCTAAAAGTGGTTTCGTTAGTTTCCTCGTAAACTTCTTTCTGGAGGCACCCCTTGAAATTTAAAATGTGACGAAATAAACATCAAAATTTGCAGTTTTAGTCGAAAATGTCATGTCCGTCCTCTCTAATTGACTCGATCCACTGTGCGGTGCACGAAACAAACACATCTCGATAGCATGGTGAGGTTCGATTAAGGTCGAGAAGTAGGTGGTACCAACCTAAATATAGATGATCCTCATCAGGATCGTCCAGGACTTCGACCAACTTTACGATATTCGGATGATCCAGTTTCTTGAGGACAGCTATCTCTCTGTACACTTTGTCTAAAGGATTGGCACTTTTGCGATTAGGTCCTATCCGACCTGAAAAAAGGAGAAAAGTTACGATTGATTTACCAGAATTTGACGATCGAATTCATTGCAGTATTGGGGACGTATGTATGGTAGAAGGAATTATACACCAGAGATCAGTGCACTTTTGATGTACCGATAATGGAGATGTTGCATGTGTGAGGAATTTGCGATGTGACTGTTGATTCTATGTAAAAGTTCGTGAGAAACACGATGGTGCCACTGGTTTCGCTGAAATCATCTTCCGAGCTCAAAAAAAGCTCTTAACTTGGGGCTAAAATGGAGGGGATATCCCATGCTAATGCTATCCTGAGAGTCCACCTTTACATCAAGACAAACTCTCCATGCAAAGATAGAGGGAGCAAATGCATTAGCAGGGTTGCCGTGTTTTCAGTTTTGGAGTCCCCACTAAAAGTGGCAGCCCTGTCAATGTATTTGCTCCCTATCTTTGTATGGAGAGTTTGTCTTGATGTAGAGGTGGACTCTCAGGATAGCGTGGGATATCCCCTTCATTTTGGTCTCAACTTGAGAGCTTTTTTTGAGCTTGGGAGTTGATTTCAGAGAAAACCAGTGGCACCATCGTGTTTAACCAAGGTTAAGCTTATAGTCATGGATGGTCATGTAACTTTTTTCCGTTCTTATTTCAAAAATTCCTACAATATTTTCATAAAATAAAAAGAGGATGATACATTGAATTTGACAACAAGGCGGGGGCGGTTGAATGTAAGAGTTCGGTGCCGCGGAGATGGAAAGCTCATCCTCTAAATTTTAGCCGACGGCCTTCGCCGAGCTCGGAGGAGCTACTTGGGGGCCGCTCGTTGAAAAATAAGGCAGGAGGGCTACGAGAAAATTGCGCATACCTCCTTGAGCATGGCTGACGTTAATTTGAATTCATTTCGGTCGAGAGCATTCCTCGTAAATATACTGTAGCCGAATCGGCCGGGATGGGTTTCGACCTCTCAACCTCGACGCTCATCGCACGGCTCAGATGAAACAGCGCCAGAACAGTTACCTATATCATCCCTCCGCGATAAAATAACTACGGTAGGGTGAATCTTCATCGATTCGTGGGAGAACGTTTTTCCACGCAAGAAGCGCCAAGCCGCCGCTCCGTTATGATTTTTATGATTCTGCCGTTAGAGTTTGTGTAACTTACGACGAGTTCTTGAGTTGATGGAAAAATTGAACGGCTTATTACCACCGCCTTATAACTGCCAAAAGTAAAGTTCCGAAGCAATATGATAAACATGATTTCTTCGACGATTCTACATATCGACATATTTTTAGTGTATTTTCCGAGGAAAATACACTATTGCATTCTCCCATGATGTCGGACCCAGACCCGAGACCTTGTGGAGAGCACCGATCACGGGTCGTAGATCACGAAAATATATGGTTAGTTAGTTATTATAATTTTGAGACATTCAGCGACTCAGGCTATTAACGTCTTTACAGGTAATTTTGAAAATATATAGGAGTATAAACGAAAATTTAGATTTTTAAATTAAGAGAGGTAAAGAGTTTCAGAATTTTGGTGGATATGCCATTCAAATTCATGTGTTGTATATATATGTATGGTTGGTTGGTAGATACGTTTATATGGTGTTTTTAACAATTTATGTATATATGTATGTATGTCTGGTTGGTTGGTTGGTAGATACGTTTATTTGGTGCTTTTAACAATTTAGCCATTAACACCTTAGAGGAGAGATCAAAATAGTATGGTACAAAACTCAAGAATTTAAAAGGTAGGGGTCACAAAAAGGTAGTACAAAATTAAAAGTTGGGACAAGGAAAGAATACATTAAATTTATTATGTATGGATGTATTAATGTATGCATTTCCGCCTTTTTAAGATTTGTTTTTTTTAGACCTTGTTTGCCGTCCCTCCTTCTTGTTCAGGGATTAGGGATTCTGTTCTAATTGAACGTGGAATATGAGACTTTTCATAACTCTGAAAGTTGTTGCATGCTGAGCCTGAATTTTACAATTTCGAATTAATGCAATCGATCTGCTTACCAAAAACTCCTGCTTTTTTCAACATCTTCTTTTTTGATAAAATCTTCATTGCCTGCAAAATTAAAAACCGCAATTTAGTTCACGAAATATCAGGCATTGTAGGATTATGTAAAATTCATTTAGACAATGATACGTTTCACGATGTTTTAAGGATCAGAACAGACAAACAATCTTAAAGTGTATTCATTATCTTTTTCGTTCTCATTCGTCATTTAACTAGGCCTCCAGAAAGAAATTACGTCATCGCACTGGACTGAAAATTGTCGACTGACGCGCTTGAATAGAATAGGATATCTGTGTTGAAAATCCCACAAAAACAAAAAATTGAAGACAAGAAGTAAGAGGGTCAATCAATTCATGTTAGTCTTAGGCAGAGCTCACATCCGCGCCAATAACGTACCATTTTCTTTGATCCTTTTTCAGGGTAAGCACTGCATAAGTATAGTTGAGAACTTTTTTTGGTACGTAGGCAACGGCTTACGTACTTAAGACGCAATAGACGTATTAGTACGTAAGACGTACCCTATATGTTCATCACAGGATTTTAAGGTCTCAGATTAGTGCAGTCGCACCTGATCTCACAGGGTGCGGAGAAAGGTTTCCGCTAGGTTTGAGCAGATTCTTTCACATTCATTTACCATAGCAAATCTAAGGGAGAAAATTCAGTTGAGATAGTTTCCCGCTTCGAAAAGGTTCCTTTATGACCAGGTTTCACCGTGTGCTTGACTCCTTTTTTGAGTTTTCTCAAAATATCTTCTCGTGCAATAGGTCTGTTGCATGGTGCGGGGATTTGCGAATCGATAACTGATTCCGATGGCAAATTTAAGGGAAATAACGATGGTGCTATCAAAAAATCTTGCAATCATCTTCCAAACTAAAAAAAAAAAAATGTTTTAGGAACCGAACCATTCAAACGGTCACTTTTACGCGGGAACGGTTCCGAAACACCACGATATCACAGTACATGACAAACCTGATCTTTTCATCAAGCGCCTGCCAATTCCTTATGGAGAAATACATTGTAAACGATAAAGAGACCAGATTTGTTATGCGGTGTGACGGCACGAGTGTACCGGATTCGTTCCTGCGTGAAAGTGACCGTTTTGAAAATCCGAATTCTGGGGCGTTTTAAAGTTGGTTTTTGGGGGGTTTCCGGTGGTCAAAAAAACCCCAGGAAAATTCTTGTGACATCAGAACTTTCCATACAAACAATAAAAAAAATTGTGGAACAGGCCCATTGTCCATTAGCGTTTCACGCCGATCAGCGATTGCACCGTATTTGGCGCAATGCGTGAAGTATCCCCACAGTCTTGTAGGCGCTAATATGCTTTGCGCAGACTAGCGACCGCACTGTCTTCAGCGCAATGCGTGAAGTATTCCTGCAGTCTTGTAGGCGATATCACGTCGTGATATTGAACACCGAGTGTTCTATCATAAGACTTAACTTTTCTTTTCGTTCTTATTTTTCCTGAACGAATAATGTTGCGAAGTTAATTTTAGAGGTGCAGATTGTTCCGTTCGTGCAAGAGACGAGCTTCTACCTTCCGCAGTTTTTTAGTTGATTTTTTAGAGGTTTTTGGTGGTCAAAAAACTCCGGAAAAATTCCTGTGACGTCAGGATCCTTAGTTTTTCCGATACTAGCAATAAAAAAAAGTGCGCAACAAGCCCATTTTCAAGCTGGTCCAAAACCTGGTCAAAAAAGAAACTTATTCATGTGGCAAAAAACTGCTCTTAACGTAATTGTTTTCCTTAGAATTGAATTATGTTTTTGGGTAACTTCTCAATTTTTTCCGGGTGATATAGTTCGATGGTAGACCTAAAATATCTCCTACTGTTCATTTACGCAGCTATAACTCAAAACCTTCAAAAATCGAGATACGGACTTTTGTAATATCATCATCGATATGAGAAACGCAGCTTCCTGACAATGTGAGGCCAACACAACAATGAGTAAAATCATAATTTGAACATCTAATTGCGATACTGTTCAAAAACGAATCATTTGTGGAACTTGTTCCTAAGAGGTTGCCAAATTCGGAATAAATCATTACATTTAGGGCAACATGCACGCTCGATCGTAAGATCCGGCCAAAGTATCACAAGCGCCATAAGACCTTTCAAAATTTCCGCCTCGCCTCCATTTTACTTTTTACAGAGAAATTGTTTAACGAAACTGTCAGAAAATTTCACCAAATTTTCTTTGTGCTGCTGATAAAATTCAGTGAAATTCTCAAACAGATTCAACCAACTATTTTTCTGTTAACAAATAAGATGGCGGCGGAAATTTTGAAACGTCGCTTGTGATACTTTGTCCGCGCGGATGGTGACGAATGAACGTAAGGAACGTAAATCATAACGAATACTCACGTAATGTTTATCGTCCTCTTCATTGTATGCTAATTTCACGATACCAAAAGATCCCTGTAACAAAATAACAAGAAACCATGAGTATGCAACACAAAAACAAAGAGGGTCAAATTTTATTCTTTAATATAAAATCATAAGAGCAACGCCAAATGCATGACGCCTGAGGTGCGAGGCGCATCAGGAGGAAGGGCCACAAATTAGTCAGGGGGCGTAGCCCTTTAGGATTAAATTAATGAAAATATGTATAAGTCGCTTTTACGCGCGATAGGGCGCTCTGCGACGCCTACCCGCCACAGGAATCTGTCAAGGCAGAGATCCTCCGGAAGCTGGCTTCTTAAAAATAAATTCTCATAAAATGGAGTCCTCAAATTAACGCACATAAAATACAAAATACAGTTATGATCTACGATTGCAGATGAATCGAAGAGGAACCTTCCCTTCAGGTAAAACGCAACAATACATATAAGGAGTTCGAATGGACGTCGATCCCATGTAAAAAAAAAAAAAAAAAAAAAAGAGGAGTGGAGATTTTTTCATTTTCTCACTGGAAAAAAAACACATTGGATCTAGAGTCCAGACTCTTGAAAACATTGACAAGAAAAAGGACTTGATTCAATCAGATTTAAGCTCAAATCAAAAGGAAATCCGCTCAAATTAAGGGGCTTGGTTCTTGATTCAAGCTTAAATCTGATTGAATCAAGAGTATTTTTTCTTGTCGATGTTTTTAAGAGTCTGGGCTCTAGATCCAATGTGTTTTTTTCCGGTGCTTAATAATTAAAAAATTAGACAATATTTTTTTTAGGCCAATTTTTGCGTTTCATAGGTAACATTTTTTTTTTTTATTCATTTTATTTTTCAGTGTGGAAAAAAGACGAACTTCTCTGTTTTGAATCTGACTGATTCATTGAAATTAGATTGGTCGAATTCTGAGGGAATCTCGATCCCGAAATTTTGGGTGTTACTGCTCTTCCCGGTTACTCCGCAAAAGGGTACCCCCGTTAACTGCGATCAGCATCTTCAGAGGGACGCCCCTTTCCCAAACAACGCAAATCGGCAACGCAATTTGTGGAAAGCTCGAGTACGAATGTGGGAATGGAAAACGAACACGGGTTAACACGCTGTCAAGAGTGTGAAAATCCCCTCCCCCTTCCCTCACCTCACCTTCGGAGTCGTGTGACAACCGGTATTAAATATTAAACTACCCTCCAAGCATCCCTTTCGACACCTCACACACCCGTTCCCCTCGTTCACGCATTTTAGGGATGATTTTATAGGAAAGTTGCCGATCTGTTAGAATCTCCCCGCGAGCAGCGTGAAGAGGGTAGGTTTACAGCGCGAGATTCGACAATCCGGGTGCGTGTTTCTACGCATGGTTTGAGGTCGAGATCACGAAATTCGGGCGGATTGGGGGGTGAGGGGGAGTGTCGTTTCGAAGATTTTGACGGGCGACGAAAGAGGGGGTTGGGAGGATCTAGCTTTCAACTTTCGTAAATACATTGGTTTTGAGAGACCGCTATCGTTTAATTTAAAAGTTGCCGCGTTTTCCCCCACTTTCGTTGCTGTGTCGACGTTGTGCTCACTTCAATCTTTTAGGTATGAGGGCTGGCGCAAATCTGTTTTTATGGTTTAAAATATCGCGACTTTCAATTAATTTACGTTCTGAGGGAGCGATCGTCAAAATTTGTTTCGTGAGAGTTTGTTTTTTATGTCCAACAAAAGTGGGAGGTTTCACCGCCTCCGCGTGACGGAGAGGCGGTGAACTCGACGCAAAATACGGATGGGGGTGAAGGATGAGGAAAGATTTTTTGAGAAATGAATGAAACATTTGATGAGATTATTAAGGGTTTGAAAGTAATGATGTTATCAATGTTTTATTTAAGACAGTTTCTCTCTTTTTCGGAGACGCAGAGACTTTTTTTTTAATAACAGAGCACATACACAGAGAGAGAGAGAGAGAGTATTGCCAGTTATTGATACGAAAAACCAATAATTTGGTTTGTACCTCGACCCATAAAGAATGCATTGAGTTGGTTGTGGCGCCTTGATGCAACTATTCGTGTCTCGTGGATGTGCGTGTTGCATGTTCAAAACTTGAAAGCGCTTCCGTTTTTCACACACCTCTTCAAAGATGCACGGAAGTTGTCAGTCGTATACGAACATTCACACGTGGTGACATTCAACCCGACAAGGAATCTATTCCTATGAAAAGCCTTAAATATTTTTCATGGAAATTTTTAGGTTACTTTAGTTATATTGCGAATAAAATTCTCGGGGAAAATAAAATAAAAATAGTCCTAAGTTTTACTGAAAATTTGAATTTCATCAAAAAGAATTTGACAAAGTCCGGAAGCTCATACGGTGTTCTTATAAAGCAGCAGAATTGTGATCCTATAATTAGTAGAAAAGCAGCTTCAGAAAGATGAGTAGTTCGAGGTTAACTCGACGTTGATTTAGATCTGTATGTAACTGGTAGAACTTCGATCTTCCAAAAGCAGCGGGCTGATTATTGAATTTGATAGACAAAGCAATAGACAAAGAGGACATAGGGAGTATAGAGCGATCCTATTGGTTGAAATGGGTGGCTCCTATAGACTATGGGAGAAAATGATGGACTAACTACAGGGTCTCTCGTGGGTTGCCGTTAGCTAGTGTATTGCCTGCTCCCTTCGTCCCTTGCAACCACCCGCCTCCACAAATAGGATTCCTCCGTATCTCTTTTGTCTTCTCTGTCCATAGCTTTGTCTATCAATTTCAATAATCAACCCGCTGAGGAAATTTGTCGGAGGCGGTTTAACAGACTTTCTAACGAGACAGGACACTGCAGCGAGCTTGTTAACGGTAAGTTGCTATCAGTTGGACCTTTGTAATTTCTTGTTTGAAACTTGAGCCACTTTGTTGCGCAGGTTAGACGGGCGGAAAATAAAGTTTAGACCCCTTTGAATCTACGATATTGCATGGAATTTAAAGCAATCTCATCTGATTATTCATGAGTTTCGCGAAGTCTCTCATGAATGAAGTAGCACGACCTCGTCCCTCCCGAATGAGCAGCGTAGTTCGCCGTTTTCGTAAATCGGTCGGCACTGGCCACTTGCACCAATCGAAAATTGGATGGTTCATTTTTGAAAGGGTCCAACCGCGAGGAGCCCTTTCGAGCCCTGGTTGTCCTCACTAATTGCAACTTTTAGAGCAGATTGATGGCCGAAGTACGAAACCGCGTATCTCCGTTGGCACCGTTGCAGACTACTACTACGCTGCCGAGCTACAGAGAAATGCCGTATAAACCTTCAGGCGTTGCCAAATTTTATTTGGTAAATCATGAATTTTCGGGAAAATGTGTAAATATTTTTGCTCCGATTTTTCAGATAATTTTGTTCACAATTTCACTTTAAGTTCCATGAAAATTTCAAGAAAAAAGATTCATAACTTTCCTCAGAAATAATTATTCTCTGAGGGGAAATTTGGCAACTCTCGAATGTTCATGCGGCGTTTTTCCTTAGCACAGCAGTACGACACTACTGATACTACTACGATGATACTTTTCAACGTAATTTCTCGAAAACTTCCTTGATTTTTCTGCTGTGCTATCAGAATATTCTGCATCAATTCCAAGCTATAAAGTTGACTTGTTTTTATTCGAAAAAATGAAAAAGGAGCGGAAATTTTGAAACACCGTAATGGAGATAAGTGGTTCCGTACTTTGGCCATCGATAAACTGTGTTGTCGTTATAAGTAATAATGCGGTATGAGCAATCTGATGTAATCAAATTTTTCATTAAAAAAAATACAAATTTTCAGAGGAACTTGCGGACGTACAATTTCTTCCAATCTTTAGAAAGTTTCATCCGAGAACTCATCGGAATAATTTGAACATTTAATGGAATAATTTAAGAAAAATAATGCAGTTGGGTAAGTTTAGCTAAAGCCATCCGTATCAAATCTCAAAGGACTTATCTGCAGGACTCGAGAGTCTCACATGGGCAACTCCCGTCATAAAACCCACTGTTATATTTATAGCCTCTCTTTTTTGATAATTGCGGAACTTGAGTGAAGTTGAATATTACGTCCCTCGAAAACATTCTACGTTCTCGAAAGAACACTATTTAGCATGCGCGCGTTTTCATCCGGCTTGAGTTCGACTCATTCTCTGGATGAAGTGGAGGAAGTTTTAAAACGAGCGAATTTTCGTCGGCCCTATATTTCATTCCCCGATACATTTCGGCATTCAAAGTAAGTTTCAAATCTTTCCTCGACGCATTTCGGAAGCCTTATTCGGTGGCAGTTGAGAGAAGAGAGTCGTTCCGAACGAAGCACTCCATCATCGGTGACTCGATGCAGTCGAAAGTTTCGACGAGGGTGCTGCCATTTGTCGTTGGCAGCCTCCCAAGTTGGTAACATTGTTTGCCCTCCATTTAAACGCATTGTAAAGAATCGATTCTTCACTGAGAAAAAACTATGGCTTATAAACCTATTAGAGGTAAATATGGAACACCACTAATAGTAGTACCTCTACATATAATAATAGCACATATACCTTAGTTATGGTACGGGGTACCTTAATTAGGTACAGAGACCTTAGTATGGTTCACAGACCGAGAATCATTGGTTTATTTACGACTATTATAGGTGTTCCATATTTACCTCTAATAGGTTTATAAACCATAGTTTTTTCTCAGTGTTGATCAGTCGACTTTTTCCGATTCATATCGATTATTTTACATTAATTTAAATGGACAGTAGCCGAACATTGACGAAGTGTTGGTTACTTTGCCAGCGTAAAAAAAAAAATCAGTATATAACTCAAAATCCCATTAAAGAGGGAAAAGCTCACCCGGGCACAATTTCCCCTCAAAGAAACTTAATTTTCATTTAGTTTTATACTGAATTTCGACGCACGTTGGCAAACATCATACCAACACCCTATCGAAACGAATTGTACGTCAAATCCTAATCTGTTCGCAGAGTGAAATACTTGCCTGAAAGTAATAAGATCGGTCCGAACCACATCTTTCCACGTTCAATATCAATCGAGATAAGGCCCTTTGAAAAGTCTGGGT